AAAAAAAAGGGGAGAGGGCGGGCGGGGTCAAAAGAAAGAACAGACACAGCCAAGCAAAACACCGTGGCGGAGGTTCACACAACCGCCATCAAACGTTGCCCAAGTCCATGAGCAACCCCACTGGGCTGAACTCATGCATTCAATCAAAATGGTGACCAGAACATCAAACCAACCGATTGGAACAAGTCATTGCAAGCAAATCCCCGTTTGTTGTACGCTCGCGTACACATCCCGGGATGCGCTTAGCAATTGTTAATAAGGGTGAAGCACCAAACCCAACCGGAAGAAAGACCCACATTAGCAGAACATGGCCTTCTGCACACCGGACACGCAACTTTTTAACTCTCGCAACCCTGGAGTGGGGAGAAAAGCGACCCGGTCCAGCACAGCAAACCAGCCGTGCAAGGGTAGTAAAGGGAGGAAACCAACCACCCCAAACTTATCTAAAAGGTCGCAACGAATAAGCACCCACCCAGCGGCGATTGCGATCCCTTTTTCTTTCATAACCGTGGATCTTTCACACGCAAAGTATCCACTTTGCGTACTTTGGCTCTGGGCGAACTGGTCTTTTGCCACGCCTTGCTGTTTTTAATCTCCGCGTACAGCTCGGTCCCGGCTGCAAGCATTTCACCCATAACCAGCCCATTGAAATCTTGCAGATCAAATCTTATCCGCCTGCATGGGTCAAACCTTGTCGCGTCGTTGTTCGTCAGAGCGTCTGCCTCTACATTCTGCAGGCGTGGGAGCCAACGCAATTCCAAGTTCACTCTTCTCACACGCAAATGCAATGCTAGTTCCATAAGGAAAGCGCAGAGGGGGAATTTCGTCGTCAGTAATCTAGACACCACAAATGAATTGCCCTTGTTGTCAGTACCTGCAGAGCAAGAAACACATCCAGCATCAGCCTTTCCCAACCCAAATGCAATGTGTCTGTATGACTCGCCCGCGGCATAAAGCCACGGCGCCTTCTCGTGAGTGATCTTCTCTGCAAACCAACGGCACTTCATTGTGTCTTGATCGTCGAGCGCCCATCCCCCTACCCAAATTTCGCTCCCCTCAGCGCGGGCATCAGTCCTGAAACATTCTTTGGCCAGCCCCATGGTCCGGACGCCGACAGGCGTCAGCCTCCCATCACCAGCTAGCGCTTTGGCCAGGAACAACATCATGAGCTTGATGGCTTTGGGCAATCTGTAAACGCGCGCGTTCTCCAGAGCAGTGACCCAAGCATACATCGGCCCTAGGAACGGGCGCAAGTGATCCAGCGCTGACAAAGCAAAGGATGGCCTTCCCAACGCTGCACACATGTCTGCTATACGCACTGATCCAGCTGATACACAATCTTGTAACCATTTCCAGGCTGCGCGCGCAACTGAGAGCCCCAATAAGTTGCCCTTCAAATCTAGTGTAAAGCCCACCTAGGATACATCCAGCCCTCCGCAGAACTTGGACCAGGAAAATGGCAATCCCAAAATCACCAAGAAATAGACTGAGATCACTATCTTTTCGACGCCGCCCTTCTCTCGGGTAAGCCAGAAGAGATCATCTACAAATACCAACAGCGCCATTTCGGCACGCCCCCGCAGATAATAGACCAGCCGTCCCAGCCCCGACATGAGCCGACCCCAGTGGTACGCAGCGCTGCTGACACCAAAGGTTCCAACCTTGTTTAGCCACAGCCACTGGTCGCCTCGCGCGCCAGAACGGCATGCCTGCAAGCCCCAATCTCTCTCTGCCACCTTCACCAAGCGATGCGCCCCTTTGACATCGCCAGTCAAAGCGAAGAATGACCCAGGAAGCAATTGCATCAAAGTACGAAGGTCCCCCGCAGTCGGATTCCTCAATTGGTCTCGCACTCGTATTTGTGAGTTGACATCTAGCCCATGGGTCCCATCGTGAATGACTCGGTAGCTACCGTCTTTCTTCTCAATGGCCCCCAAGGATGCTACCGCCAAGTTGTCAAACTTGGCTCGCGCCTCCTCCAAGCCGATCTCGATCACGGCGCCCAACTCTGCTTCATTCTTGAACTGCTCTTGTATCACTGAAGATTGCTGCTTTGCGGAGATATAGTTTTCACGCAGATGAACTTCAGCCATGTCGTCCGCACATTTTTCCATGTGGTTTTCCGCTCAAACACGGCTGGCACCCTTGGCAACTTTGCTCCAACACCCAGGCGGACCCCTTTGGCAAACGAGTTGGTGGCTGAAGAATATGCTTTATGATCTGGGTCACCTGAAATTTTTCAAGAGTTCTTCAATGGCCCCTAGACAAAATGGCTGATCGGGCGCCCGTGTCCGCACATCCAGCTTTGCGCCGGCCATCTCCAGCGCAACAAAAACCAGTTGTCTACCATCTTCAACTGCCGCCCTGGGGAAAGGGCAGTCGTTGACTTTGCCAGCTGCAAGCTTCATTGCTAGCAACCTCACGTCGCAGAAGCTCTGGAGCTTCTTTTCCAGTTCTGTGCCCAACGCTTCCAAGAAACCCAGGGATGGTGTGTCACTTGCGCTGCGCCAAGCCCAAAGCCATCGGAAAATGCCCTTTGCTTACCCATGAGCATTGAAGTCACGGCGGTCCATGGCCCCAAAGCCCAGAGCCCAGCTTGGGTTCACCGTCTTCATCTTCATCGGAACTTGCGTCTGCATCCAACTATTTTCCCATTTCCATTCCTCAGCTTCCACCACTGAAGACTCCATCCGCGAGGAATCCTCCCCACTCAGCGGCGACGGATGGAGACACGCTGCTGAAGATAGTCATTCGTGATCTTCAGGGCGGTCAACCAACTGGCAAGAGGGATAGGGCCGGATAGGGATGCTTCCCCAGGCAACGCTGGGCATATGAGCAAGGTTTCTTTGAGCACCCGCTGGCTTTGTTGAAGGCAAAGCAAATGAGCTGGCCATCGTTGGTTCGGGAATGCTTCTTGATTGCGCGCTTGATGGGAGGGGCGGCAGGCCCCTTCCCGCCTTTGCCACGGCCTTTGCCATAAGGGCGGCGGCGAGAGTCAATCTCCTGTGTGTCCAGCGCATCGCCACCTGCAGAAGCAAAGGTAGCAAAAGACATGGGCCCAATAAAGTGCATGGTGTAGAGCTCGGGCGCAGAGCAAGCAGCCGAGAGCGCGGCATTCAGATCTGTCGCGGAGCCATCCCGGACCAGCCGGTAAGCATGCTTGCGCACTTCGCTCTCATATTGCAGCACAAGGCTCCACGCGGGCAATCGCCCGTCGGGGCCCTTT